GGTTGGAGACACTGAGCGATATGGCTGCGTATCGCAAATAGTGGCGCTCATGCATCCACTTATTATTCTTGTAACTTCAATCTATTTGAACTCGCTATCTTTCGCTTGAGTTTGCTTTCAGTATTACAACCTTCATTCTCCCGTTTATCCACTTGGCGAAAGACAGCAACTGACGCATGAATGTGCATGGCTAATGGTTGTAAGAACTGAACTGAACTGACTCATTTATCCATAGAAATTCACTGCTAACTGCACTGCATCTCAAAGTAAATTCAATGCAATCTGTCGAATTAGGATGCTTGAGACTGCGATTCACTGGTCGAGCTAAGGTTAAAAGGATAATCGCACCACTGGTTGAGCTGTTTTAATTTCACTATTCCCTCTGTCCTATTTAGACTTTGCACGGTTCATCACGCTAAGTTGAGATGCTGGTTACTGTGCCTAAGCGGCCGATTCTCCTGACTTCCGTTCATTTTTGGTGTCCGAAGCAGATGGGTTTTTATTAGCCTGTATATTATCCTCGATCTCCAGACAAAGAATTCAGTTTCTCCAAAGAGTAATCATGTCGGTCTACGAACTGATATGGATTTTAACAAAAGTCGTTTGGTCAACCCGCAACAGCATGTGTATTGCTGTTTCGATAGGCTGTGTATTTCGTAACTGAGATGAAATAGTGAAACTGCTCCCCTTTACCACACGGTTTTGATGTATCTGACAGCAGACTGTACGCATTCTTTCGGCTGGTTTATTTGAAATTTACTGATTTTAGTTATACACATTGATTTATTGTGTTCGTCTGCATTACTTTACCTTGCTCTCCCCCCTTCCCACTATCATCCATGTTTCCTAACGCAGTTATCAACGAGAATGGCGGTTTCACAAGAAAGAGAAAATTTGGTTGACGCGGAATGTAAACGCAAACTTCACTACGGATAACAATTCCGAGCAGGGTGATTACTTTTACTGGGATCCACTCAAAGCTCAAAAATCCACCTTACACATGACTATCCTCTACTCCGATCTGGACAATGCGCCCAAATCGTTTCGTCTCAGCTCGGGCACGTTAAACGCATTTGTCAGTACCGGTCTGACAAGCAATGCAGCTAGTCACCACGCGCATCACTCCAATGCTCATGCGAACGTGCAACAACTGCAACTGGCGGCCGCCTATCAACAACAACAACAACAACAACAACAACAACAACAACAACAACAACAACAACAACAGCAGCAGCAGCAGCAACAGAGCTATAATTCTCATCAATCACTTTTGTCCAACAACCAGCAATCGACAGGCAGCAATGCTGCTTTGGTAAACACGTTACACCATGGTTCATCTGGGCAACTTATGGCTCAGGGAGCTACAACGTCCGCCGCAAGTAATTCTGCCGCCACACTAGCTAGTCTGTTCAACAGTGCCCGACACCCATCCAAGACCCAAGTAGCTCAAATCAGTCCGTCTGCCAATTATATGCAACCAACCGGATTACCTCACGGACGGCAACCGAATACGGGATTGACTAACCCAGGATCTATGTTCGCCTCTCGGTCTGGACCCTCGGGCACACCGTCCATTTCACCAACTGCAACCGCCACATCAACCTCGCTTGTTCCCGGCCTGGTCGCAAACCCCGGATCTGTCTCTTCCGCTGTGGTCTCGACCTCAAGCAATCCGAGTGCATCCAGTGTGGGTGGTAGTACTGCACATGTACCAAATAACGTTGAATCCGGATCCACAAATGCCACCGACTCATCCACGGTCCGATCTCTGAGCAGTGGAACAACTGTGGCTACCACACTGTCCGGAGTGACGAATGATCCGAATGTTGTAACTTCTGGAGGTGGCACATCCTCAGCTTTGGATGCGTCAGCGCAACTCTGATACAGAATGTGTAAATCGGTGCGGTGCGTGTGCTTGGTGTCAGTTGATCGTTTGAATTA